GTGATACTATGGTACATAAAGAGAAATGTTAGGAAAATAATTTGTCTTACAATTCACTTAGGATAATAGGGTTAGACTTGGTTGTCAAAGTGTGCCTGCTAAAGCTTTTGGGATTGCTCTCTCTCTCTCTCTCTCTCTCTCCATATATATATATATAGTATTGGAGTCATCTTAAATGGGAGTTCCCCCTTCCTAACCTTTGTCATGTTAGGCAAGTTTCTTTGTATCAGCTGCCCCTTGTGTTTCATGTCAGTAACCTAATGGTCTTGGGTTGAATTGAACCAAATGCTTTTGTTGCTATTCTTCAAAATTTCATTACGAATTCTTCACAAAGATTGATGTAGTAGTGATACTATGATACATAAAGAGAAATGTTAGGAAAATAACTTGTCTTACAATTCACTTAGAATAATATTGCAAAGGGGTTAGATTTTACATAATTAAGTTTGTGACTAATCAAAAATTAACACATAAGTTATCATCTGGTTGTGTGACTTAAGTTGTGAGTTTTAATATTTTTTATTCTATTTGTACATCATTACACTAAAAATAAAATACATACGAAATATGATGTCAAAGTTATGGTCCTATCAGCTTAAAATAAAAGAACCATCAAGTGCTTGACACAGCATTTGGTGTGTATGAAATTTTAAAAGAATAGCATTTTTCTTAATTTTATTGTGCCATTATATATATATATATATATATTGTACATTATTCAAGAACTTCACCAGTCCACTATCTAAGTGGGAGGGGAAAGTGCTCATGATGAGGATGCTTTCAAGCCCTTCACTAGGCCAATATGGTGGCACTTTATTGTGCCTCTTAAAGTTCAGTTTGGGGAATTTTTTTTTTCTTCTTTTGAAAAAAATAAATAACTTAATGAAAAAATAATAAATAAAAAGTACTCATTATTTTCATATAATTTTACATATTTTGAGGGCAAAATAATTGTTTTAATTTAAAAATATTTTTTAATCACAAGGTGATTGGCCTAGTGGGTGACGACTGGAGCTTGGAGGTTTGCTCCCTCCCAAGTCGTAAGTTCAAATCCCCTAATCAACAAATGCATACCCTGAGGCTACGGACTGTAAAGCATAAATCTTATTTCGAAAGATTTGTTCGGACTCTAAGGACTTAGCCTAGTACGCGTAAACTGATCCAGCATACCCTATATAACAAAATATATATATATATATATATATATTTTAACTTATATTTTTGTCAAATTAATTTTTATTTTTAAAAAAATTAAAAACTTATTCTAAAATTAAAACCAGACAGAACTCACATTGTACCTTTATTTGACATACAAGACTTAAAAGAAATGGTTTTTGAGCCCTATTACAAGACTCATATGATTGGAGTTGAGTATTTGGAGTTGAAAAAAATAATAATAATAAAAAATCATGGTGCTCATTAGTCTCCCCACAAAAGATAATGATTTTAGCTACCATTAAAGGCATCTATGTTCTCCACGCTCAATCCCATCTTACAAATTATAAATATAGAAAGAAATAAATAAACTATGTGCTTAATGTTTAAAAATATATATCATCTGGTGATATCCCTAATTTTTTGGACCTACCCCACCGTCGCACCACTAGAGGCACATGTCTCCCTCAACTTTATAAAAATTATTTTTTAATTTATTCCTTCTAAAATCATTGGTACACCCACAAAATTTGTTTCAGTTTTTATTTTGCTTTAATTTTTTTATATATTAAATATATCGTATTATATGCCTATCAATTTTTTTGGTTAAGTTCGTTTTGTATTATCTCTTCCTTCTTCTTCTTTTTTTTTTTTTTTTTTTTTTTTTTTTTTTTTTGATTTCTTTTTAAGAATCGGACTACTAGTTGGAAAGAAGTCTAATCCAAAACAATTGGGCTTGTGAAACTTAGGAATGATTATTTTAACCTGATTCGCGAGATCTGTTCATACTCGTCCGAATGGGACGAATTTTACCCGACTCGACACTTATATAAATTATATTTTGGTCACTCACAACGGGAGTGGAGCGGAGGCAGGTGTCACATTCCTCAATCTAAACCCGACCCGATGTAATTAAAAAATATATATAAATAAATAATATATGTGTATATGTATAATAATTAGATATAAGAAAGAAATACCAAAAGTTTGTGATTTTATTTAAATATAAATAAATAATAATACTAAAAGTCTCACTGTTTATATATATGGAAACGAGAAATTATTTACTGTGTTACAAATTTAAATAATTCTTAATTTTTTTGCAATTTAAAATGTGATTGGGTATCCGTGGGGGCGGGGATAGGATTGAAAAATTTCATCCGTAGTGGGGTTGGGACGGGGTCGGGTTTATCCACGGAGGGAAGAGGGGTGGGGCAGAGCTAGGGTTGGGCGGCCGGAGATGACAAATTCGCCTCACAATCATCCCTAATGAAACCCATTACAAATCCTATTTTAATAATTCAAAACGTCTATTTTTAAAATCCATGCATCTAGATTATCTACAAAAAAAAAAAAAAAAAAAAAAAAAAAAAAAGAAAAGAAAGGGGGAAGAAGAAGAAGATGATTTTGATTTAATAATCATAATTTCATTAGAATTGTCTTCAAATATTTTTTTAAAAAAAAAGTATAGCAACAAGTATAATTTTGTTTTTTGTCGCCAGTAGTTTTTTTATTTTATAAATTTCTCATTTCTTTTTATTTCACCCTTGTGTGAATTCTAGCCAGGATGTACTACAACCTTTCTCCATCATCCTTGTTGAGAAAAAGCTAGTTTTTTTTGTAATCATACTAGAAAAATTTAAAAATTTCTCTATGAAATCAGGAAAATTTCTTTATAAAAATTGAAATTTCTTTGTAAAAATTGAAATTTTTCAGTGTCGATGTCGAAATTTCTCTGAGTCGGATACAAATTTCTCTGAATCGAATTTTCTCTGTGAAAATATTAAGGGACCCCAACTACTATGAAAATATTATATTTTTTATCTTATAAAATTTTGATATTAGAAATCTTAAAAAAAATTCCCCTTAATACTAACATACTGGGAAAAAATTGGAGGGCTTCTAATCCAATGTTAAGGGCCTGTTTGATAACCATTTCGTTTTCAGTTTTCAATTTTCAGTTTATATTTACAAAGATTTAAAAAATTGTCATAAAAACTTGTTTGATAATTTTTTTTGTTTATAAATAGTTGTCTCAGTTTACAAATTTGAGGAAAAAAAGTAAACTTAAAAAATGAGTTTACGTTGGTTTTTAAACAGAAATTTAAAATTTTGACCAACAAAATTTTTTTTTCAAATAATTTTTTTTTCAATTTTTTTTTTTCAAGTAAATATTTTTTTTAATTAAATTTTTTTTTTCAATTATAATGTGTTTGATCCCATTGTCATAAATAATAAAAAATAAATATAAATATTTTAGTTCTGAACAAACATATTTTTTAGTTTATGTTTTTTAAATGTTTTAAACATTTGGTTCAAACCAAACGTGTTTATAGTTTATGTTTTTCTAAAAATAAACAAAAATCAATTTATAAAATCTTTATAAACATAAACAAAAAAACGTAAACGTTATATCTAATTAATGAGCTTCCCAACAACTAAAATCACCATCTGCCTTCCCAACTGCACAATTAACAAACATAAATCATGTTAATTGTTGCATTTAGGGAGGTAAGAAAAATCGAAAAAACTAATCAAATCGGTTGAACCGAATTGAACCGGCTATATTAGGTCAGTTTTTTAATATGAATCGGTTTGTACGGTTTTTAAAATTAGTTTTTTTATTTTCAATTCGGTATTGATTTAGGCACCTTGTGCACCGAGTTAAACCGAAACTAACCAAAAGTTTTTCATATGAACATAATATATGTTAAATATATAATAATGTCGGTTGAGTACAAAATTCAGATGATTCACTTAATTGTTTACTTTTTCTTAAATATTTTAGGTTTGACAATAAACATTGGCCATGTGATAAGTTGTTAGTTTGTCACTCATGTCTACTTGAGTCAAATTTTGCTACTACTATGCTTATATAGCTATAGCAAATATTTATGTCGTTTTCAATTTTTTGTTTTGATTCAATTTGATAGACTTGGGATTTAGTCTGACAGGATAATGATTTTTAAACTTTGATTTTATTTTGGTGTCAAGACTTTAATTTTCACATTATATTCTGTTTCTAATTCTACTTCAATAGTTTTATATAAATTATTTACTATATTATAAATTTAAGAAATAATTCAAATTTTGAAAGGCTCTAAGCCGATTAAACCTCACTTATTCAAACCGTTTGAATTGGTGTGGTTTAATAAAAAATAAATATGTATCATGTCCCAATTTAGTATAAAATTTCACTTAAACACTGGTGCAAAACCAATTGCCATGTTCACGACCTTCAAGTTTAATATAATAAATAAAACTATTTGTCATAGTTAGTTTTTTTTTTTTTTTTTTTTTTCTTTTTGTAATTTTTATATAGTTAATGGAATTTTAATTCTAGCTTATGGTCCGTAGTAACTAGTTCTCTCTTTATACATTCTACAATTTTTTATTCATTTGGGTTTGGGAGGCATGCTGATAAGAGCAAAACTATGGGGGGAAAATACATTGCACTTTTTATTAAAAAAAAAAAATTAGAAATAGAAAAATAAATTATATATTAATCAAGGGGTTAAACAAAGCAACCTTGGCCCATTCTTATAATACAGCTATTACTTTCGTCACATTACAAAGAACAATTCTTATTTTTTGAATAATTTTGAACCTTTAAACTGTGCTTGAATCATGAATTTGTATAGAAATTCAAAAAGAAAAAGAAAAAGATAAAGATAATGCGACTAAAATATAAACTTTTCTTCATTTTCTTTCATCTGTTAAATTTTTATCCAAATTAATAATTGAAACACAACATTTATTCCCGAACAAAAACAAAAAAATATGTCCCTTTGATTCACTTTCCCATCACTATCCTTCTCTTTTCATTTCTGTATGAAGCCAACCTGTAGTAACTCAAATGGAAAAAGATACATCTATATAAAAATATGGTTACTAATCCGGAAGCATATTCAACAAAAATTACAATATAACAAATGCCTCAATAACTAACCTTGAGTATGAGAAGTGTTAATTTGATAACTATTTTTAGTGTTTTTAAAAATTCCTACAAGACCTTCACTAGCCCTCAGCTTCCGACGACAACAGAAGCATACAGTGGAGGGAGAGAGAGATTACAGTGCCTCCTTGAGATTGAAGGTTCTCAATATTGCCCTAGCCTGGTCATATTCGTTGAGGTCAACAAGCATCTTCTTCAATCGACGAGCAAGTCCACTAGTCTCGCTCTCGCTCACACCTGAAACATGCTTTTTCTCCAGTGTCTTTCCAAGTGTAAACAAGTAGTCCACCAGTGGCTGCAATTTGGGGCTGCACATCCGTACGAATTAGAGAAAGATGTTTATAACCAAGCAATGTGATAATGAAAGCATCATGTACACAGACTAGAGCAGTTCATTGCCAAGCTATGGCATATAAGACCATAATAAGGGTAAAATAACTTTTGTTCTTTGGTTACTGGGTAAAATAACATATAACGTGACAGGAAACTAGTTTTTGAAAACTTTTCAGAAATCAGATCATAAAAACTGAACCAAACAGAGGTGTTTGGGTGTGTATGACGAAAGGGGACAAGAGGCGAAGGGCAATGGAGAGGTAGACAGAGGTATGGAGGTTGCGGTAGAAAGGGGCAGTGAAGGAGCGGTGAAAGTTTGGGAATGAATTTAAAGAGAAGAAAGAGACCTCGGAATTTGGGTTTGGATTTTGGGGGATGAATTTTGGGTCTTGGGTTTTGAGTTTTGGGTCTTAAAATTGAACAGAATTTGGTTTTGGTAGTAAATGAAAAAAGTACAAACATTAGGGGTCAAAGTGAGAAAAATACTTTAAGGGCCAAAGTGGAAAATTGTAAAACTTAAGTGGGCAAAGTGTAATTTATCCCTTTTTATGCCACATGCTGCCCACATGACATTTTCCACCCAAAATTGTACGAAGTTTCGGAAGTAAATTGGGAATTACAAATGCCGGGGGGCCCAAAGTAAACTTAAGGAAGACAAAGGGTAATTTACCCTTGAATTAACTGAATAAGCAGATACAAAAAGAATTAAAGCACAAATTGCAGAAGACATAAATCCAAAATGATAATGACCATCTAAGACATAAATCCAAAATGAGAATGACGAGACGAACAGAAGGTAACTATTAGAAAGCAGAACAACAGAGGTAAGCCAGCACAGGTACCTCAAAAATTGCACCAGCTAGTAGTGGCAAATAATAATACCCACTGATTTCCTAAAGCAAGAGGACTTAATTTCAAATGCAATCAGTGTAAACTATCATAATAGATGTACCTGCGCTGCCCAGCAACACTTGGACCTGACCACACTCCAGATAATGAAGCAATGACCCTTTCAGTTCTTGTGACTGCATCATGAACATTTGATTGGATGCTTCGAAGATGAGGAAGAACTTTTCCACTCAAAAGTTCATCAAGAACAAGCTTCTCGAGAACAGACAATGCAATAATCTTATTCCACATGCATATGTTCCTCATCAAACGAACAGATGTGCCAAATCTATATGCTGCTACACGTGCTGCATTTGGCACAGCCTTCATTACAAGTGGGCTCCATGTTGGGACCTATGAATTGAATTTTAACAGATAAATAATAGAAAATATAAGCGACGATCTACAGATGCTTCATTCACTTGACATCTAAGAAACATGAATATGGACACGCGACACAACACTGACTGATGCATCAATTTTCAAAAAAATATAAGACAATATGTGGGAAATACGCTCAACATATATAGTTTTATATATTTATTATATTTCACATATATGAATATTTCACTTAAAAATAATGAAAAAAAATAAAACATAATACTAATTTTTAAAATTTAAACGCGGGAATATTGTTTTTATTTGGACAAATTTCACTTTTACTCCCTTGTAGTTTGGCCCATGTGCGGCTGATTCCCTTATCATTTGGAAATAAATACATCACCCCTTGTGGTTTGTGAATCAAAGTACACAGTTAACTTTTCCATCCAAAGTTACAAGATAGCCACGTGCCTATGCAAGAAGTAAACAAATTTTTAAAACAAAAATACCTCTTATAACATCTTCAAAATTCCAAAACATGACATTCTTCTTCTCCTCACCATCTCCCCATTATGGCGACCAGTGGCAACCCCCACCCCTCCTCTTCACAGCACACCACCCTTTTAAAAATTCCTACAAG